CAGATCCACATCTCAGGGTCAGCATATTGTTAATGCTTAATAAATGCTGAGTAAATAAATTCAATAAATTGGAATGGCTGGGATCCCCTTAAGTTTTGGAACTTCAGAACACCAAAGCAGCCTTCTTTTTATTCATTATAAGTGTGCACGTTCATTATGCACACTTCCGTAAGAGGTTTCAGCCTTCACGAAGGTGTGCATAATGAGTATTTACATATTCAAATTTTACCAATTTTTAAATGAGAGTCATAAAGCTGTGGTGCTAGAAATCAGAATATTGTTCACTCATGATCTTCTAGTCATTGTAAGGCAGCAGGAAGGGCCTTTTGATGTAGTGTTCATGTTCTGTTTCTATATTTCATTCTTGTTATATTTGTGTGTCTCATCTGTGAAAAGTTTTTCACGGTGTTATCTTTATAGTGTGTTTATCTTTCTTAGTACATACTATTCTCTGGTAAAATTTTTGAAATGCTAGTCATAATGCTTCTTAGTTTTGTTGCCATGAAATGGATTTTCCCCCTTTTTTAGTTTGTAAATTTAGTTACAACTTGATTTAAATTCATATTTCACCTCAAACTGATTTTGTCACATAGATCCTAATATAGTTTGATTGGCTCATTTTGAGATATGTTTAGTTACTTTTAATTTTATCTGTGAACTAGATTCTGTGACCTTGCAAAGGTTTTAACACATAAATTGCCTCCAACTCAGCATTGAGTTAATACTTAATTTTTTAAAGTTTCTAAACTATTTAATGTTAATAATGAAAGATATAAAAGTAGGAGATTAAACTTAATAGGATTAGGAAGAAGAATATAGGAGAAGGATAACCTATAAAGGGAAGGGCTTTATTCCACTGAGGAAAAAAGAAAAGAGGGCAGAACATATATATAGATAGATATACCAATTGGATTCTAAATCGGAGAAAAAGCCATGGTGCGCTCAAATGATAGTCTTGACTTGTCCAGAGAATAACAAAACATGCTTCTGTACTAAGAATAAATGCTGGGATGGCACTAACAGTTCTAGGAAAAGGGAAATACATAGGAAATAAGTTGATAAGGAAAACTTGGCTGAAGGTCAAGGGACATAAAGATCATAGAGAAAGTGCATTTAAAATGGTTGCTAAAAGAGTTCTCATTGCTTAGGGGGACAAGGCAGGAAGTAACTGATAAGCTATGAGAACAGAGATGAGGGTATCTGAGGACACTGCAGATTCAGTGGGAATGAGCACAAAGGGGAAAGGAATGGATAAGTGGGCAGCAGGCATGATGGTGCACACCTTAATCCTAGCATTAGAGAGACTGAGGTAGGGAGACCACAAGTTCAAAACCAGTGGGCTACACAGGAAGTTCAAGTCCAGCTTGCACTAAATATCAAGACCTTGTCTCAAAGAACTAAAAATAACTAATTACAAAACGATAGGTAGACGGCTATAGGTCAAAGAGGGGAACCCAATCCATCTTGGAGATGGAGTAATTGCATTTGATGACTAAGCTGAACATGCAGCTCTGTGTGTAGGTTGCTTCTACAAAGCTGATGATTACTAAAAAGGAAAAGGAAACTGAGGTCAGCTTGCTGAGTCATCAACATGGATGCTGGAATCATCAGGCTGATGCAGGATCTGCGCTTAGTTTCAGGACTGATGCACAACTGGGAAGAGACAAGGAAGTAAATGAATATCCTGGTCAGGAACAGATTTAGGCAATCCAAGGGGCAGGTAACATTTATTTTCAGCATGTGTCACCGTTGTTCTACAGCATTTTTTTTCCCTTAGCTTTGTTCATGTCTTCTCAAGTAACTTCTGTGTCTTCCCGTTGCCCTCTCACTACATAGTTTTCCCACCCTTCACTCTTAATCAATCAAAAATCCCAAGTGATCCCAGGACATCAATGGAGAGTTCCTCACTGTTATGCCAATTTCCCCACTTACTTCTGCATTTTAACAGGGCTTTCTCAATCCACCCCTGCCCACTGGGAATTGTTAGTTATTATAGAAGTCATATTTTATTAAAGGATGCCACAACTACAAAAAAAGGGCCCTTCTACATTGTTGGTGGGAATGCAAACTAGGACACTACAACCATTATGGAGAGTCCTCAGAAAAAAAGTAGAAACAGAAATCCCAGGTGACATATGCCTGTAATCTCAGTACTTGGGAGGCAGAGGCAGGAGGACTGTTGCAGTATAAGGCCAGCCTGAATTATATAGTGAGTTCAAGGCCAGCCTGGACTACACAGTGAGACCCTGTCTAGAAAAAAAGCAAGAAAAGAAAAAAGGCTGAGCATGATGGTGCACACTTGTCGGGAGGCTGAGGCAGAAGGATCACTGTGACTTCCAGGCTAGGCTGGGCTATGCACTCAGTTCAAAGACAGCCTGAACTACACAGTGAAACCCTGTCTCACAAAACCAAGAGAAAAGAAAAAAAAAAAAAGAAAAGAAAGAAGTTCCAGATGACCCAGCTCTTCCCCTTATAGGTATTTTCAACAGTTAAAAGTCATATTATAGGGGCTGGGGATTTAGCTCAGCGGCAAAAGCACCTGCCTGGCAAGCGCAAGGTCATGAGTTCAGTTCCCGGTACCGGAGAAAAACCAAAACCAAAAAAAAAAAAAAGTCATATTATAGTGACACATTTATACCCATGTTCACAGCAGCACAATTTATAATAGCTAAATCTTGGAAATGGCCTATATGCTGGATGAATGGATAAAGAAAGTGTATTAATACACAGTGGAGTACTACTCTTCCATAAAGGATAAACTTGAGGCATTTGTAAGAAATGAGTGCACCTTGACACCATAAGTGAAATAAATCAGACACACAAATGTAAATACCACATGGTTTCCCTTACAGGAGAAATCCAAAATGTAAATAAAGAGCAAATTGAAAGACTAATTTCCTTTTGAAATGGAATTAGAACAAGAGATGGAAAGCAAGAGGAAGGAAGGGGGAGAAGAGGACATAGGAAAGAAAAAAGAAAAGAATTGAGCGGCAAAAAATAGAGTTTTTGCAAGTGGGAAAAGAGCTGAGAGGTAGAAGGAGCAGGAAGGGCTTGTAGGGATAGGGGATAAAAAATTAAGATGTGTTATGTACATGTTACCTACTCAAGATAAATGTAATAATTATGTACTGCAAACAATAGGAACAATAATTATGTACTGCAAATAAAATAAACACCCTTATAAAAATAAACACCCTTATAAATGGCAAAACTAGAATAGTCTGGTCTCACAACATAGGTAGACATAGGGTGACAAGCAACAGAGAGAGCGAACACGTCCTCAGCGGCAGAACTGTTATCAGATCTGGCAGGGGCCAGCAGCAGTGTTTTCCAGGTTATTTGTCTCAGTGAATGAACTGGCCAGGACAATAGGTGTATGTGAAACAACCTTACTTTAGAAATAAGGACAAAAGCTCAAAAGTGCTCAGGTGCTTTGAAGAAAAGAAAGAAACTTCCTGCAAGCAGAGACGATCATGGCAAGAACGAAAGGGAAGTAGCCAGAAGTCAACTGCTGCTGTCCGGTTGTCACCTAGTATCCAGGTGATCTCACTTGATCTTGTGCTAGAAGACCGATACCAGGTGCCAGGTTCCGCGTGTTCTCCCATCTGAACATTGGTAGCCAGGCGGGGCCCGCGTCAGGCTCGGTGTCTCCTCAGTTATAGCCCAGCTGCCCGGCCCGTTTTCATACCCTAGCCTCTCCCATCCCCAAATTTGCCCAGGATGACTCTAGTCGTCTGCTTTGCTGTCTTTTAAAAAAATCTGATCAACCACTAAGAGATCACAGTTTGATCTGTTTTATACCACTTGAATCCTCAACATTATTAAGAATCTTAATAGTCTTATTTTCGGAATAAGGTGTGTTCATGAAGACATTATTGTGGGTTAGGGCTATAGCTCGGTGGAAGAGCTCTTGCCGTGCAAGTCCAAGGCTCTGCGTTTGGTTCCCAGCTCAGCAAAGCAAAACAAAAAATTGCTCTTGCTCTCCTGTCGTCTGCCATTCTTTCCCCCCAAAAGATTCCGACGTTGAATGTTCCTTTACAGTCACACACACCCTTCTTTTAAGCTTCTCATCTTGCTTTGGAATAAAATATATGCTAACGTGTGCCTTTAGATTCATTTTCCAGCAGTGGGCAGGGGGTCGGGGAGTGACGGTGAATTACAACGAAACCGGTCCCTACTCGCTATTTTTATCACAGATTCTGAGGTACACACCGCAAGAAACACTAGTTTCTTGGCAAGTCACCAGCTCTGGATTCACAGATAAATCACACCCAAACTCACTCACTAACAAGAAAAAAGTATACCGCAGCAAGATTCTTTTACATAACTCTTGGACCAAAGCCGCCACCACAGACTGTGGTAATCTCCAGCGCAGCCACGGCCACTGAGCCCTTCGCCGTCCCCAGGGAGCTCCCACGCCTCCCGGTCCCCGAGGGAGCCCAGCGGTCCCGGGCGCCGCGTCCCTGGAGGAAGGCCGCGAGAGCGGGAGAACGCTCCCCGGTGAGACCCGAGGGCATAGGCGCTGGCAGCACCCGGGCTTCAGCTCAAGACCCCGTCAGTCCCCGGAAAAAGGGGCCGCTCCGCTCCGCCCGACCGCAGAGGAGAGGTGGGGGGACCCCTTCGATTTCGTCTTGGAGCGACAACGCGGGCGCAGCCACCGGAATCCGGGATGCCGGGAGCCGCGTTACGGGAATCGTAGCCGCCCCGAGTCCCGCCCCCTCGGCGTCGGCGGCCCTTGGGCCAATGGTCGGGTGCGTCGGGACAAGCAGGGACCAATCAGCGCACAGGCCCCGGGTCCAGAGGCGGAGCTCCCGGGTGCGCCGCGGGGAGGGGAGAAGGGGGCGCAGCGCGCAGCCTGGGGAGGAGGGCCGCGCGAGGCGGCCGCGGGGAAGGAGCTGCGAGGGGAGCTAGCCTCCGGCGAGCGGCCGCGGGGCCCACGGGGCTGTCAGGCGCCGCCCCGGCTCTGCTGAGCTGGGAGTCGCGCCCGCCTGGCCGACGGGCCGGGCGTCCAGGGGGTCGAGGGCGGGCAGACGCGGAGGACCGAGGCTTCGGGGCCTGAGGTGAGAAGGGCCGGGGGAGGCGGGCCGTGTCGCGCGAGGGAGTGCGTTCCGCCGCCGCGCTCTGCAGGGGCGTCCTTGGCGTAGAGGTGAGCGCCCGACGCTCCCCGAACTTGTCAGTCCCAGCCTGGAAATCCCCGCATTCCTTCCTCTCCCGGTTCCCACCGCCGGACTCACTTTCCCAACTTTGTCACCTCGATTTCTCAACCCCAGGTATGACCTTAACCCCGACCGCGCGCGCAGCTGGCGCACACCCGCCGAGCCCCCGCCCAGAACCCGCTCCGAGACCGAGCCCGGCCTGCCGGGTCGGCGTAGTCCGGGTTCCGCGTAACTGCCCCTGCTTCGCGCCTGGCTCCCCATTCCCTTCCCCAGAGCCATCTTCTCATCCTTAAACTGTAACCCCTCAGCGCTGTTCAAATTCACAGTGCTTGTGAGTGGTACTAACGTGTTTTCTGTCGGTCTGTTCCAGCCCTAACGAGTTCCACACACTACTGTATCGTAAGGAGAACAGATCCAAGTAAATTTTCACCCTAAGCGTAAAGGTTATTACAAGTAGCGCCGTTGTGTTTTCTCCGTGGATGAACAGCTTTTGATTCGCAACGCCAAAGGGGGGAGGGGGGGAGGGGGTTGGGTCAGATTAAGGCTTTCCACGTTCTTTTTTTCCTTCCGAAGGAAATTCATTTGCGTTTAATTTGCGTAGTATTGGTCATTTCAGCAATTAGAATGCCGTGAAAGAATCATTAGAAATTCAGGTTGAATCTTCTAAAAGATTAGGGTGTTTGTTTTCGTGCTGTAAACAAACCCTTTAGACTGTGTGTGACTGCCAGCTTCAAATTGGAAAAACTTAATTTGAAATTACTGACTCAGATCATCATTTGTGCCATTCGCCATTATCTTGATTTCCTAAATTTACGTTAATAGCTGCTGCTAAGTATTTTGAACTATGAGCTGGAATACATTTATAGAACTAATTTTATATTCAAGTTAAATTGTGCTTTCCAAACATTTCCTTTTGGAGATAATTTCGAACGCTTGTGTTTAATCACAGTGAAAGAACAAATTACAAAGACTGTCGAAGGATAAACTTTATCGTAAAATTTTTCCCACATCTCAAGTCTGTGTGTGGACAATAGTGTACTTATTTTTCTCATAGATAATTTGAGTTTTATAAACTACTGATGCCAGCTAATCTAATATAGCATATTCGTAGGAAACTAAAAATGTTCATGTTTTTATTTGTCAGCTGTAGTGTTTTCAGTTTCTTTAAAATTTTCCTCTAAGGAAAGTTCGCGTTTTAGTTAAGTTTTTATGTTGATAAGTGCAGTATATACCTATGAAGTAGGTGGTACAATATCCAGTATGGCGAAGGAAATAGGCTCAGGTGACCCCCTGTAACCTAGATCTTTCTGACTGCAAATCTTGTGTTCACCACTTATGTTGACGTATCTCTCTTAAGAGAATCCAGTACTACCCATAACTCCTGTACAGGAACAGGGAGGATTTTTTTTCCTCCAGAAACTATTTCAGAGCTTCTCATTTTAATGGGAGTCAGAATTCCTTGGCCCTAGTACATTTGCAGCTTGGCTTCTAGAGAAGCATGGAATGTTCTCACTGTCTTCTCCATTTCTTTGATTGCAAAGGCAGTGTTACCAGAGTTGAGATTTCTTGTGAGCTTTATTATTTTTACTCAACAAAAACTAAGCACTTATCACCGCTGTAGGAAATCAGAAAGATGCCTAAGTTTTTATCAGGACTTTCAAAGAATTTTAAAAATGGGATTGACAAACCTACATGTGAAATATTACTTGGATGCAAAGCAGTTTTAATTAAGTACAGAGTGATACAGAAAATGCTATTCAGTAGATATTTAAGCTAAAGAGTGATCATATATGAAGATTGGAATAATAGTGGACTTACCAGAGGTCATCCTCAAAATCTGGGTAAGATATGGCTAAAGGGGAAAATGAAGGGAGCCCATTCATAATACAGCATGGACAGCAGAGTATACAATGGAAAATATAGAACATAATAAGATCACTACCTGTGGAAAAGGTCCAAGGTATACTACTGATAATAGCCAGTACATACCTAATGCTTATTTTGTGCCAGTGTTTTGAATGTTTTGCTCATAATAATGCATTTAATCCTTATAACCTCATGAGGTAGAGCCTATTGTCCTCTTTTTAAACAAAAGGAAACCCAGGCACAGAAAGGTTAGTTTGCCTAGCTAATAAGTAGATCCTAACTTTGCATTTAGATGGCCTGGCTTCAGGATTTGAAATCTTAATCATAATACATAACTGCGTTGTCATATAGCATACTTGAGGGCCAGGGATATAGTCCAGTGGCATAAGTGCCTGTCTGGCAAGCACAAGGTCCTGAGTTCGATTCCCCGTACCAAACTATATATATATATATATATATATATATATATGATATATATATATATAGCATACTTGAATGGAAGTGAGTAGAATTATATGACCATATCAGAAGGTCTTTTAAAACACCAACTCTTTTTTTTTTTAAACCGACTCTGGGGCTGGGGATTTAGCCAGTAGTACTTGAAACACAGGGTTTGATCCTCAGCACATCAAAAAAAAAAGATACACCCTTATTTGTCCATAAGGTGCCTCAAAATTTTAGGTTCTGAACATACTGAGGCATGTAAAATAATTACTGTGTGATGTTATAAGTCCTTTCAGGGAACTACATAAAAGTGCACTGGAACAAAGATGTTTGTGAGAGTGGGGGTAAATTCCACAGATGTTTGACCTGAGTTATAAACAGTCAGTAGAACAAAGTAGGATCAGGAGGGCATTGACGCAGGGCATACTGTGTGTAAAAGCACAAACCCTGAAAGCACAAAGTGTATTAGAGGAAGTTTAGTTTTTTTTTGTTGTTGCTTGAGCTCAGTCTACAGCAGTGATGATGAACCTTTTAGAGCTTTCAGTGATAACAAACAGCGGGTTGTGGCATGGTTGCCATAGGTTTGCCACCACTGGTCTAAATGATGGTTTAAAGGTGAAACCAAATTGTGAATGAAATACTAAGCCCAAGCAAAATGGGGACCTTAAGTATTTGCTTTGCAGGTGGAAGACGTCCAAAGTCATTTCAGTATGATTGGAATAAAAATCTGGAAGTATAATGGGAAAGTAGGTTGACGTGCAATTTTTCTACCTCAGCCTCCCAAATGCTAAGGTTACAAGCAGTGCCACCATGCCCAGCAAATTTTTAAAAATTTATATATGTATATATTCATTTGCAGAGCTGGGGATTGAGTACAGGGCTTCCTGCATAGTAAGCAAGGTTCTACCACTGAGCTATACCCCCAGCCTTTTCTTCTAAGAACAGAAACACTTGGATATTGGAAAAAATTAATTGGGTGAGGAGGTCACACTGAAGCCAATTTTATTTTATTTTATTTTATTTTATTTTTTGTTGTTTTTGAGACAAGGTCTCACTATGTAGTGCAGGCTGGCCCTGAACTCACTGTGTAGCCCAGGCTGGTCTTGAATTTACGGCAGTCCTCTTGCCTCAGCCTCTGGAGTGCTGGGATTATAGCCATGTGCTACTGGCTGAAGCCAGTTTTTTAAGTTCTTAAATAGCTAAATTATTTGTCATTCTTATTCCAAGCTTTTGAGGGAGAATGACAGCTTTACGTAGTGTTTCAGAAAGATTCATTTACCAATAATGTTCCAAATGCTTAGTAAAGAAGAAAAAGACTGGAAGCAGGAAAGCTGGTTATAAATAGTTAGGTAATCACTGCCCAGATTAGATTTGTTGTGGTAAAGGATAAGTGGGAAAGATACTGTGGAAGAACACCACATAACTTGTGTACCTGAGAAAAGCTAAAATGAAATGGATAGGTAAGAGAATGATGGACTCTACAAACAGGCAATTTAAGTCAGAAAGAGAATATGCAAGAAGATATGTAACTAGAATTAGAAAAAAGATCAAGCCAGAATTCTTGAAATTATGTTGTTTGAAGGTAATAGTTGAAGAAAAGTAGATAACACATACTTTATCTTTGGAACATTCATAGCTAGGAGACAAAAGCTGGCAAGGAATTCACTAAAGGAGGCAGGAAGGTAGATAGAGGAAAGAATCACCTACATTATGTGGTTACATAGACTCCAGGAGGTGTTAGAAATTCAGAGTCAAAGTAGTCAGCAATCACAGTAGTCAGAAACACTTGTCATATTGTCACAAGCCTTCAGACTCTACTTCTTTGTTCTGTGACCATCTAGTATGTTTTGTGAGATTTAGTGAGAAATATGTTAGCTACTTGATGATGAATCAGAGAACTATATCTGTTAATTTATGGCTTAGGATAGATCTTTCTCTCTCTCTTTTTTTTTTTTTTTTTTTTTTTTGTTTTTTTTTGAGACAAAGTCTCTCTGTGTACTTCAGGCTGGCTTTGTTTATTTATTTTTTTATTGTATTTTATTTTTTTTATTTTTGTGGGTACCGGGAATCAAACTCAGGATCCTGTGCTTGCCAGGCAGGTGCTTGTGCCACTGAGCTATATCTCCAGCCCTAGTCAGGCTGGCTTTGAACTCATTATATAGACCCAGCTGGTCTTGAACTTGCAGTGAACTTCCTTGCCTCAACCTCAAGTGCTGGGATTATTGGCATGTGTCACCACACCCAGCAGATTATGGTTATAAAGCTGCATGTACACATATATAGAGCAGGGACTTCATCCTTTTCAACACAATAAATCTGTTAAATTTTAGTCTGCCCCATTAAAATTTGAATGTTATGCTTCCAAATTTTCAGTAATCAGTTTTATCCTTTGCTCTAAAGGAGCTTGATTTAATCATTACTTATGGGTGTCTTCAGCACTAAGTGACTGAGTTGCCAGGCTGGGCTAGAACTTGTGGTCTTTCTGCCTCAGCTTCCCAGAGTGCTGGAATTGCAGGTGTATACTACCACACTTAGTTCATGTTCTCTTTTTGTTTGGATGTTCTCTCACTTATACCTTCTAACCCCTTCCAATA